GCCTATGGTGCGTTGGCCACCACAACCAGTTGCCAAAAGGCTTTACCATCATTCTACGGTGTGTTGGCCACCACAGCCAGTTGCCAAAAGGGATGCTGGCCACCACAACCAGTTGCCAAGAGGCTTTACCAGCACCCTAAGGTGTGGTGGCCACCATGACCAGTTGCCACAAGGCTTTACCAGCATCCTACGGTGTGGTGGTCACCATGACCAGTTGCCAAAAGGCTTTACCAGCCCCCTGAGGTGCCCCTCTGCTGGGAGAACAGGCTGGGAGAGTTGGGGTTGTTCATCCTGGAGAAGAGAAGGCTCCGGGGAGACCTTGGAGCCCCTTCCAGTCCCTCAAGGGGCTCCAGGAGAGCTGAGGAGGGACTCTTGATGAGCAAGAGGAGCCATAGGACGAGGGGGAAGGGTTTTAAGCTGAAAAAGTGGAGATTGAGGTGAGATCTGGGGAGGAAATTCTTCTCCCTGAGGGTGGTGAGAGGTTGCCCAGAGAAGCTGTGGTTGCCCCATCCCTGGAGGGGTTCAAGGCCAAGGTTGGATGGGGCTTTGGAGCAACCTGCTCTGGTGGGGGAGATGCGTTGATGTCCCCCCAATCCAGGACGGGGTTGGGGACACGGGGTGGCCCATTTACCCGTGTAGCCGATCTTCTCGAAGCTGAGGAGGTTGAAGATGCTGTTGTAAAGCTGCATTTCTTTTTTCCTGGTTTGGTCCATTTCGTCTAAGATCTCCATCAGCTCGTTGCCCGTTTTGGTGGGGTGGGTGCACTCGGCCTCGTGCACCGTCAGCTCGTGGTACGGACCCTGCCAGGGGCACCCGATCCGCTTGTATTTGCACTGGGTCACCCTTGAGGGGAGGGAAAAATCCATCAATATTCATGGAATAGGGATAGGATGGGGAAAAAAGGAGGTGGATCCGGCCAACCCGGCACCAGGAAGGACCATGAGGTTCATCCAAGGGGATTTGGAGCTGGTAGACGCCCCCCACAAGGTGGGAGAAGAGGAAAATTGGGAATTTCAGGAGAGCTCCTTCATCCCCCCCATGGAAAACCATCAGGAAAACCATCCCATGGGATGTTGGCAGGTGCCAAGCGGGCACACGGGTGGTGGGACACCATGGGGTGGTGGCATCTTGGGGCAGGAGCAGCCCAGAGTGGGGCATGGGCTTCTCCAGGAGAATTTGGATCTGGCAGACCCCCCCAGAAGTGGGAGAGGAGGGAAATTGGGAATTCCAGGAGAGCTCTTTCACCACCCCCATGGAAAACCATCCCATAGGATGTTGGCAGCTGCCAAGTGGGCACACAGGTGGTGGGACACCATGGGGTGGTGGCATTTTGGAGCAGCCCAGAGGGGGCACAAGGTCCTCCAGGTGAATTTGGAACTGGTAGCCCCCCCCAAGTGGGACAGGGGCTAAAACTGGGAATTCCAGGAGAGCTCCTTCACCACCCCCATGGAAAACCATTGGGAAAACCATCCCATGGGATGTTGGCAGCTGCCGAGAGAGGGAGAGAGGAGGGGGCCCTGAAGTGGCACCTTGTCCTCCCCCCCAACTGCTGTCACCTGCCCAAGGGTGGTGGGACACGGGGTGATGGGACACGACCAGTGGGATGGAATATGGGTGGTGGGACATGGGTGGTAGGATGGAATACGGGTGGTGGGACATGAGCAGTGGGATGCAATATGGGTGGTGGGACATGACCGGTGGCAGGATATGGGTGGTGGGATGGAATATGGGTGGTGGGACATGACCAGTATCCAGATATGGGTGGTAGGACATGACTGGTGGGATGGAATATGGGTGGTGGGACACAACCAGTGTCCAGATACGGGTGGTGTGATGGAATACAGGTGGTGGGACATGAGCAGTGGGATGCAATATGGGTGCTGGGATGAAATATGGTGGTGGGACACGACCAATGTCCAGATATGGGTGGTGGGACACAGGTGGTGGGATGGAATACAGGTCGTGGGACACAACTGGTGGGATGGAATATGGGTGTTGGGATGGAATATGGGTGGTGGGACATGACCGGTGGTGGGATGGAATATGGGTGGTGGGACACGACCAATGTCCAGATACAGGTGGTGGGATGGAATACGGGTGGTGGGGGACAACTGGTGGGATGGAATACGAGTAGTGGGACACAACCGGTGTCCAGATACAGGTGGTGGAACAAGACTGGTGTTGGGGGGACACAACCTGTGGTGGAACATGGGTCATGGGATGGAATATGGGTGATGGGACACGACTGGTGGGATGGAATATGGGTGGTGGGACACGACCAGTGTCCAGATACAGGTGGTGGGATGGAATATGGGTGGTGGGACACAACCGGTGGCAGGACACAGGTGGTGGGACATGACCAGTGGGATGGAATATGGGTGGTGGGACACAACCGGTGGTGGGATGGAATATGGGTGGTGGGACACGACTGGTGGCGGGATACAGGTGGTGGGACACAGGTGATGGGACACGACCAGTGGGATGGAATATGGGTGGTGGGACAGAACCGGTGGTGGGATGGAATATGGGTGGTGGGACATGACTGGTGGTGGGACACGGGGTCATGGGATGGAACATGGGTGATGGGACATGACCAGTGGCGGGATACAGGTGGCAGGACATGACCAGTGGGATGGAATATGGGTGGTGGGACAGGATCAGTGGTGGGACACGACTGGTGTCCAGAGATGGGTGGTGGGACACAACTGGTGGCAGGACTGGTGGGATGGAATAAGAGTAGTGGGACACAACTGGTGTCCAGATACAGGTGATGGGATGGAATACAGGTGGTGGGACAAGACCAGTGTTGGGGGGACACAACTGGTGGCAGGACACGGGTTGTGGGATGGAATAGGGGTGGTGGGACACAGGTGGTGGGACACGACCAGTGGGATGGAAGATGGGTGGTGCAACAGGACCAGTGGTGGGACTGGTGTCCAGAGATGGGTGGTGGGACACAACCAGTGGGACAAGACCAGTGTTGGAGGGATATGGCTGATGGGACACGGGTGGCAGGACACACGACATGGGTGGTGGGACACGACCATGGCAGGACACAATCTGTTGTGGGACATGGGTGGTGGGACACGACATGGGTGGTGGGACATGACATGGGTGGTGGGACCTGTCACGGGTGGTGTTTTGGAGCCCCCCAACCCAGGTGATGACACATGGCGATGCTTTGCCGTGACGCCGCAGGAACCCTCCCAGAAAACTCCACCAAGGAGGTTCCTCAACCCCTCCACGTCCCCAGCAAGGGGTGGGGGTGCCACCTCGCCAACTTTTTACCTGTCCTGACACTCCTCCTTCTGGTGCCTCTCCAGGAGGGAGCGGGGGAACTGCTGCATGCAGAAGCCACACTCGGAGGGCAGCTCGCTGACGGCCTTCTCCACGGCCAGGTTGCGGCAGCAGAGGCTCTTGCTGATCTCACAACGGCAGTTGGGGCAAGTGGCCTGTTCTTCTTTGAGTCGCGCGTCCGCCAGGAGGTGGATGAAGCAGCCGGCGCACATCAGGTGCCCGTTGGTGCACTGCGGGGAGGGGAGAGAAGAATCAAGAGTCAAGACTCCAACTATCATCCAAAAAACCCCAAAAAAACCCAAGAAACCCCCAAAACCCCCAAAAAACCCTCAAGAACCCCCAAAAAACCCTCAAGAAACCCCAAGAAACCCCAAGAAACCTCAAGAAACCCTCAAGAAACCTCAAGAAACCTCAAGAAACCCCAAGAAACCCTCAAGAAACCGCCAAAAAACCTCAAGAAACCCCCCCAAAAAAACTCAAGAAACCCCAAACCCCTAAAAAACCCTCAAGAAACCCCCAAAAACCTCAAGAAACCCTCAAGAAACCTCAAGAAACCTCAAGAAACCCCAAGAAACCCTCAAGAAACCGCCAAAAAACCTCAAGAAACCCCCCCAAAAAAACTCAAGAAACCCCAAAAACCCCTCAAGAAACCCTCAAGAAACCCCAAAAAACCCTCAAGAAACCCTCAAGAAAGTCAATTTTGGAGACGTTCTGCCCACACCCGGCTCCTCCCAAACTTAAAACTCCCTCCGCTCCAACCACCACGTCGCTGCTGTAATTAGGACTGACCTCGTTAGCCTGGCACAAGAAGGAAAAGCTTCCTCCTCCCTTTCCTTCCCTCCTCCTCTTCCTCCTCCTTCCCTCCCTTCCATCCATCCCGCAGGAACCCAACTCCCCGTGTCCAAATCCCAACCAAATCTCCAGGAATTGGGGTAACCAACTGGGGAATAAGGGGGGGATGGAGCCCCCCCAGTGGGGAATCACACCAAAACTTGGGGGGTGGGAGGAGGAAAGCCTTCCTCCTCCTCTTCCTCCTCCTCCTTCCCTCTTTCCATCCATCCCACAGGAACCCAACTCCCCGTATCCAAATCCCAACCGAATCCCCAGGAATCAGGGTAACCAACTGGGGAGGAAGAGGAGGAGGAGGAGGAAGAGGAAGAGGAGGAGGAAGAGGAGGAGGAAGAGGAGGAGGAGGAGCAGCACCAGAGCCATCCTCAGGGGGCAGAAAGATCCCAATCCTCTCCAAAAAAATCAGCAGGAATGAGCAAAAATTCCATGGATTTCCCCAATTTGCCGCCAGGAATCACCAAACCCATGGGGAGGAGAGGAGGAAGAGGAGGGGGGGGGAAGATGAGGAGGCTGAAGGCTTCTCCATCATCTCCAGTGCCAAGGGGGACGTTCACCCCTTCCCAAGGGAGGGGGGTGAAAAATCCTTCCCTGGATTTTTTTTGGGAATTCCCTGGGGTTGGAATGTTGTCACCTCCAGGATCCCACTGAGAAGAGCTCCCCTCCCCTCCATCTCCCCCCCTCCCCCCCCCAAATTAGAATTAATTAACCCGGGATTTAATTAAATGAGGCTCCCAGATCCGAAAGACCCGGGATGAAGCATCTCCCGGCTCCAAATCCACCCGGATTCTGGGGCTAAAAATCCCAGGAAAAAGAAAAAAAAAGGAGTCAAAAGAAGAGGGGAATTGGCACAAGAAGGTTCGCTCGTTAATTACTGCCCCTCGTTAATTACTGCCCCTCGTTAGCTCTTCGGGGCACTAACGAAGGCAGCCCAGGGTGGTGGGACCGGCCACACCGCGGAGGTGGCACCCCTGGTTTAATTACAGCCCTCGTTAGGAATAATTAATTAAAGAAGGTTGGGGAGGGGGAGGAATGAGCCAAGAGGAGGAAGAGGAGGTGAGGAAGGATGAAGGGCTCCCCTGCCACAAACTGGGATGAACTGGGATAAACTGGGGACGGTGGGGAGTCCCCCACAATCTGGGATAAACTGGGGAGGATGGGAAGGGGGAAGGGGAGTCCCCCACAAACTGGGATAAACTGGGAATGCCCCCCTTCCCGGGTGTCACAAACTGGGATAAACTGGGGGACAGTGGGAAGGGGGAATGCCCCCCAAACTGGGATAAACTGGGGACTGTGGGCAGGGGAATCCCCCCCAGACTGGGATAAACTGGGAATGCCCCCCTTCCCGGGTGTCACAAACTGGGATAAACTGGGGGACAGTGGGAAGGGGGAATGCCCCCCAAACTGGGATAAACTGGGGATGGTGGGAAGGGGGCTGCCCCCCAAACTGGGATAAACTGGGGACTGTGGGCAGGGGAATCCCCCCCAGACTGGGATAAACTGGGGACAGTGGGAAGGGGAATCCCACCCAAACTGGGATAAACTGGGAATGTCCCCCTTCCTAGGTGCCACAAACTGGGATAAACTGGGGACAGTGGAAAGGGGAATGCCCCACAAACTGGGATAAACTGGGGATGGTGGGAAGGGGAATCCCCCCCAAACTGGGATAAACTGGGAATGCCCCTCTTCTTGGGTGTCACAAACTGGGATAAACTGGGGACGGTGGGCAAGGGAATGTCCCCCAAACTGGGATAAACGGGGGACAGTGGGCAGGGGAATCCCCCCCCAGACTGGGATAAACTGGGGACAGTGGGCAGGGGAATCCCCCCCAAACTGGGATAAACTGGGAATGCCCCCCTTCCTGGGTGCCACAAACTGGGATAAACTGGGGACGGTGGGCAAGGGAATGTCCCCCAAACTGGGATAAACGGGGGACAGTGGGCAGGGGAATCCCCCCCCAGACTGGGATAAACTGGGAATGCCCCCCTTCCTGGGTGCCACAAACTGGGATAAACTGGGGATGGTGGGCAGGGGAATCCCCCCACAAACTGGGATAAACTGGGAATGCACCCATTTCCCAGGTATCACAAACTGGGATAAACTGGGGAGAGTGGGAAGGGGAATCCCCCCCCAAACTGGGATAAAGTGGGAATGGTGGGAAGGGGAATCCCCCCCAAACTGGGATAAACTGGGGGGGCTTAGTGGCTACTGAGGGGACAAGGTGGCCCCATGGGGGGGGTCAGTAGCCACCAGCAAGGCCCTGGAGTGGG